TATAACTGCTGTCCCTTGCACCATGGACAGAATTTCCCTCAACTCGAGGAAGCACGGTTTTGGTGAATATATCTTTCCTAAGCCAGGTACTCTTTTCCATGCATTTTATATTCTCCATTTGCTCTCTATGCCATGTATCATATACATGGGATGGGATAAAGGGCTCTGAAGAACTCTTACAGTCACCATTTTTAATATTGTCCATGATCTTCACCCTGGCACTTACACAGTGCTGCATGTGTGGTGCATCTGATCTATAGCTAGATTGTAGGGTTCCCTCATCTCTCACCTTACAACTAGAACACAGAATTTCTCTGTGCTCTGAGACCAGTTGTGAAGGAGAAAAACTTACCATTTCTCCTTGATGTGATTAATCCACTGTTTTTATTTAAAATGTGCCAGAGAAAGAGAAGCCCTCTGGATGCTGGCTGCTTCCATGGGAAACTGGCTTGCCAGAGGCACTTCTTGGATTTAAGAGACTCAACGGTTGTCAAGGAGCTTTTGGAGAATCTCATGAATTATTTTGTAACCCAGAGGCAATGGAGATTGGCCAGTACCAATGACTGTCTTGCCTGGTTCATTTCCCAGTCAGTGCCGCATGGGACACTTGCTACTGTTTGTTTTTTAATGTCCTAATTACTGATGTGCTTATGCTTTCCCTTGGAAGACTGACTTGGAGAGACTTTCATTTTGCCCACCTCCTTGTTTTTCTTTTCTTTGGACAATGATGGGAAGCATCACACTTCATACAAATGGTCCTAGTTGGATATCCAATGCAGTTGCTGGTCGACCAAAGGCTACTACAGAGAGTGCTCATCTTCCTACAGTTTCTTGGCTGAAAGTGCTTATTCCTAATTTCTGCCTCTGAAGATAAAACAGAAGGACCAGCTAGCTTCTCTAGTTGACCTTGTTTCAGAACCAGAGGCCTACTTTTTGAAGACAGAGGGTCTATTTGCCAGCAGTTGTTGGCTGTTGAGAAAAAAGATCTAAAAGACTAACTCCAAAGTTTGAATTTAAGAAAGGAAGGCTATATTAAGCGTAATACTTGTCTGCATTAGACTCAAACTGAACAATATGAATAGACCCACAAGTCACATTTGAAATATAGGGAATTAAGTGTGTTTGCAGAACTTGCAAAGCCAGTATCACTCTTGAATCTGTTCCTCAGCCACTAGCTGTGAATCATTTTTATTTTTATTTTATGACCTGCTGAGGATTTTATGAACCCTCTCTTCTAAGATGGACTAGTATTTTTATTAGTTAAGAGGAGTTTATGATGACTGCAATGACAAAATAATATGAGGCACCTTCTTCCAAAACTAGCATCGAGTTCTGACTTTAGCTTTGCCCTCTGGTGACTTTTAGCAGATAGCCAGGACCCTGCGGATTCTACCCATGGAAGCTGAATTGGTAACTTGGAATTTGATTCTTTCCTTGTGCTTTGTAGTTTCATGCAACATACAGGACAACTTTTTCCTGTCATTCCAACCAAGCCCAAATGTCCAGGTTTCAGGGAAGGGTTGCCCCTTTCTCCATCAAAGAGTAGAGGCTATTTGAGACATGAGGGGAGATCCTAATATGGTAGCATGGGCAGAGTTCATTTTCATTTACATTCAAGTGTGTATAAGCCAACATGTGTCTAGCAAGTTTTCTCAAGAGCAAGAACCTCCTCACACTGCAAGAAAACCCAGATGACTCTGTAACAGGAGAAGCTGTTGAAGCATGAGCACACTAACTGCAGAGAATGTGCTTTTTTATCTACATCCTATGAAGGAACCCTCCATCTTTATTTGCTCCTCTAGTCCCCATAATTGAGCTAGGGTGACTAATTGCAGATTGTGTGAACACAATTTGTGCGGTGTGAAGTCTGAAGAGTTTAATCTTTATCACACTTGATATCCTCTTCAGTCACTTTGTTCTTATTTATAGAAACATTAAGCAAAACTCTTCAGGGAAAACTGATTGTATCTGAGTGCTAATTCTGTAACTTCTTAAATTGCGACAGAAGTAGACTAAGTTATCCAGCAGGGAAGCAGAAATGATACCAGGTTTACTGGTCCACAGACCACTGCGGTTCATAAAACACCAGTTGGTGGTGGGCTGTGAAATAACGACAGAGGAAATCTATATATGCATACTTTTCAACTGCAAGCAGACAGAAAAGTGGGAAGGAAATAGACTCTGCTCTAGATGCTTATTTCTAGTTTTAATTGGCTATAACTGAAACCCATTGTGACAGCATTGCACAATACAATGTGAACCCTTTTTTCCAGTAAAATTACAGTGTCTTTGACTTTTGAAAAGAGACTGAGAACTAAGCAGCTCCAATACAGCACACTAAAAGAAATAGCAGTAGGAAATCACCTAACCTCATTCTTTCTATATTGCAATTTATTGATGCTTAATTTTTCAGCCATTCCAAAGAGCTGATGTTCATATGTCAGCCCATTCGTGATGGAAAAAGTTGAATGTTTCACATATGGGAGTTGTTGCTATTCTAGGGTTTTGTTCTTCTTGTCATGCAGTTGAAGGAATATATCTTACTCACCAAAAATGAATCTTCTGTCTCAAATAAAGTGCCTTCATAGCCACTGGAGTTACCCTAATTTAAGATAATGTGACCATGCCACATAGAGAGGGCCAGATAAGGACACCCATGCTGCTGTCAGCTGCTTTCCACCTCAGACCATAGATTCATAAGAGAGATAAAAAAATCATGTAATATTTCTTTGATTAAGAAAGGACCTGCAATATCTGGGTTTCTTGCTTATTTGCAGAGCGCCCTGCCATTCTGGAATGCCATTCCAGGAATGGAGGGCAAGGGCTGCTTCTGTGCAATCATTGATCTGGTCTTGGCAAGTGCCTGCTTGGCAGTAGAAAGTGCTGAAATGCCCAGTTGCTATCTCTGCGATTGTATTCATGATAGCACTAGCTAAAGTTAGGCTAACTAAGCTGGGGAAGTTACCTTGTGTGATACAACCCCAAAGCAAAGTCTTCAGCAGTATGTATTACCACACAGGGCAGCTAAGTCTCCTCTGTGCCACTGTCTATCTCCAGCAGCACATCAGTTAAAAACACCGACATAATGGGGTGAGAGCCTTCCATTTGTTGACCTGACACAGGAGAGGGGTGATACTTGAGGTTATATTAAATTAACCCCCACAAGTAAGGACTGCTCATTCCTATTTCTGCCAAGTTTAATGCCTATAATGTGCCTTATTACGGTCTTCTGAATGTTACCCCAGCTGTAAAAGCAGATTATAAATGTGTAGATCCTCTTCAATGAATGTCACATGTCTAACTGAAATATAAGAGAACTTTCAACCAGTTGCTCTTGTGTGTACTTCCTAGACTATAAATTGCTTTTAGTGTTTGCACCCGAAGTAGAACTGAAAATTATATGTTCTTATTTCTGGAATTAGCCTTGTTACCCATTAGTAAGAATCTGCTGTTGTTGTTTGTTGGACAAAAATGCAAAATTATTTGCTTCAATGGGGGAAGCAAATAATAAATATTTTTTTTTCTTATTTTGGAGACTTTTTTTCTTTGTTTTTCTAAGGAAGATCATTTGAATAAATACCAAGAGAGGGGAAAAATATATGGGAAACCATTGACAGCCCTCTTTAATGATGTGACCCACTCTAGCCATCACTGACTGGCTGCCATGCCTGTAAAATGAGAACAGTTACTGTTTGATTCTAAAGCACTTGAAGCACCATGAGAAGAAAAGTCTTCTAAAAATTTTGTTTGGTTGATAAATGAAGGTACTGATTGAGCTTCTCACACTTCCCACGTGTGACAGTCACCTAATAATAAAGTGGCCAACATGAAAATGGAGGTCTGTTGGGGCTCACATGGTAGGTTTAATTTATGTCCTCCCATTCCCCTTAGCTGATGAACTTTGTAGCTCAGTGTTGCAGACTTTCTGTCTCTTCCCCCTTCTGCTCAGTGGTCCCATGTGCTAAACTCAGATGGCTGGCCTGACTGAAGACCCAGCGGGCGCTTGGAACCTGACCTATGGGAAACATGCCCTACAGCAGCAATGCCATCGCTTTCTGACTGGGACCAGGGATCTTTAGGAGACATTATAGAATCAGAATAGTTTGCATTGGAAGGGATCTTACAAGGTCACCTCATCCATCCTACCCCTGCAACTAGACCAGGTTGCTCAAAGCCCTATCCAACCTGGCCTTGAACATTTCTGGTGATAAATAGGGTGTCCACAACTTCTCTGGACAACCTGTTCCAGTGTCTCACCACCTTCACAGTAAAGAATTCTTCCTTGCATCCAATCTAACTCTGTCCTATTTCAGTTTAAACCTGTTTCCCTTTCTCCTGTCACTACAAGCGCTAGTAAAGCCTATTTCTTATAAGCACCCTTTAAGTATTGAAAAGCTATAATAAGATCTCCCTGGAGCCTTCTCTCTAGGCTGAACAGACCCAATTCTTTCAGCCTTTCCCCATGGGAGAGGTGTTTCAGCCCTCTGATAAGTTTTTGTGCCCATCTGGGCATGCTCTAATAGGTCTGTGTCTTGCCAGCCTGTGCAAAAAGACTTGACCATGGAGAAAGAAGAAACGTGAGAGGGGTGCACACTTACCCCTGTGCACCATTTCATTAATGCTTTTACTGTAAATGAAGGGGGAAATGCCAATGGCCATAACAGCTGCAAGTAAGTTCCAACTATCAGAGCAGGGAGGTTACGGCACAGGCCTTCCCAAAAATTCAGCCCAGGTCTAGCTACTGTTAATGTGGAATTTGGTCAACTCATGAGAGCGGTCTCTATGACACAGATGCCTGTGAAAGTAGGGGACTCGGTGACCCAGGAGCTGCCTTCCACATCTCTTAGGCTCAGGTCAGACTGACCCCCCATTACCAAATCTCAATAACAGGTCCAGAGTCCTCCACAGCTTCTTACCTGTCCCACTGAGCTGGATGTGCTTGCAAAAGAGCAAATGGGGAAACAGAGCAGGACCTTTGACCCCTCGCTATCATTATATTCGCTCCATAAATGCCGGTGTCTCAGATGAGCATCTACCTCAGCTTCAGCCTGAGAAAGAGAGAAGGCAGGACAGGTAAGCACTGAACTCTGTTCTGGGTGGGATGGGCATTGTGACTGGTGTGTCTAGATCAAAAGGAAGTGAGTGAAGACGATCTTCTATTTTTCCCCATTTCTTATTGCAAGCCAATAAGAAATTGGCTTCTCACACTCCGCAGGCAGGAATACTGATGAAATGGGGGAAGGTGGGGGTGCTTGAGGTGACCCGGATTGAAGTTGAGTGATGGATGCTCCATAAGACACTCATAGGACGGTCAAGCCCATCGTAGGAATTGCAGAGTTTCAGTGTTGGAAGATACATAAGCTTTTCCCAGCTGCCTTCACGACAGGGATTACAGGCTCTAAAGTGGATAAGAGCACCTCTTTATGCTCTTGGGAAGCAAATTTACGCCTTTGTGTACATGGAGAAAAACTGGCTCTGGGATTAAAAATCAAGGTAGGGTGGTAAAGGAGCAACTGCTCCTGGGCAACGTATGTCTAGTAAATGGAATGGTAGCTTTTGGAGGCAATCTGTGCACAGAAGGATGTAAAAATGGATGGAAATTTCCTTACTGTGGGATAAGAAGGAGCATTGACTTGTAGCCACCTGGTATGGGATTTAGCAAAGCATTCATATGTAATAGACTTGCAGCCTTTTTTGCTGTTGCAATTCTAAAACTTCAATGTTTTCTTCATGTTGTTCTGAGTGATGCAGCCCTATAGTTGAGGGCATAAATCAATATTAATTTCTAAACATGTTTTTAAGCGCAGAATGTTTGAAAAACTTGTTTAGATGTAATGTATTTTCAATGTACCAAGTACTGAATTTTCAATTCTCCAATTCTGACCTTTTTAACAGACAAAAATAAAGGAAGTCAGATGAAGCTAAATTTTGCACTCACTCCCTTTTGAGAACTTGTTCTGCTTGGGCTACTATCGGCTGCATTAATCCCAGAGTGAAAAAGACAAGTGAACCTAGTTGGCTGGTTGGCAACTTTCCTCAGCTAAAGCAAGGCAAAACACTCAGATCACTGGGTCACTAAGATGATCATTGTATGTGATGCACACATGCACACTAGCACAATGTTCTTTAGAGCAATTTAATAAAACAAAGAAATCCCACATTATGAATTTTTCAGTTGTATTTATGCACAGAGGAAACCTATTCTTATTTCTGGCAGTTTTAGTGGTTTGTTCATGTGCTGAAATAAGGGATTTTAGCTCTCATATAAAAGACCTAGCTTTACTCTCACATATTTCTTTGAGCTCTGAAAGTTATTATTGTGGATATTAGTGATTATACAAATAAAAGGACACCTTCCTTTTTATACTATTTTTCCTCACTTCTTCAGAGTAAATGCACCGTGGTCTTTCCTGTTCTTGTTTTCACTTATTGGTTAGCTTTGTTGCAAAAATCTGGTGTTTAACCAACATGTTTTATTTCTCTGAAAACAAACAAACATTGTATGCTGATTCCTGCAGGTCTCTCAGTATAGTGAGCAGAACTGGTACTGCAAACCATGTTGCAATCCAGGGTATTGATGATAGCTCTGATTCTGCTCCTCAGCACCACTCTGCCTGGTAAGTCTGAAAAGCTTTTCTGTCTGCCTGAGACAAAGCTCAGCTCTACAGGTTCTCACTGGACTTAAGCCCAGCGATACAGTTGAAGACCATAGTGCTCAGCAGTGTGAAACAAGTCAGTAGAGATCTGGCATGAAAATTGTCCATACGTGGCAAACACTCTGCCATGTAAGGCCTGTGGCATTCACCACGAAGAGGTGAAGAGGTGCTGCTGGATGCTGCTAGAGTGAATTCGGGGAGAGGTTCTGAATCTCAGAACTTCAAGAATCTTCCCACTGAACCTGGGGGAAAATTTGAGAGACGTGAGTGACTGGAAAAGCCTGATAGGGTTTTGCCTCCTTTTTTTCAGAAGTGCACTCAAAGTCTGTCTTTGAGAGAGACCGTCGTGACTGGCTGGTCGTCCCTGATGCAGTTGCATCTTATGTCTATGAAGCTGTGAACAAGGTGTCCCCTAGAGCGGGTCAGTTCTTGGTTGATACTGCCCAGACTCCAGCAGTTGTTGCAACTAGGTATGAAAAGCTCCTCTGTGCTAACGCTGCAATAGCCATGTGTGAAAAGGGAGAGGGAGGAGTGGGAGGAAGAACAGATTAATCAAGTATCTATATGGGGAGACCCAATGGGAAATGAATCAGCAACCAAAGCCTGATGTGACTACCATGGGAGTGAGGTGCTGGGAGGTAGGGTGAGATGATATGGTCTCCTGTGAAAGCACAGGCTCTTCCCAGGGATGCACATTGTACATGACCATGCTTGTGGGGACAGCAGGTTCTGCTCTTTATTCTTGGGTAGTGAGGGAGGAGGTCTCTGGCTGGTGGGGGATCAGCTCACCTGGAAGAGGGTTCTCTGGTGCTGCTGTCTGTGAGGGGCTCAGTACTGACTGTGCCATTGTCACTTGATGCAAATCACAGAATTGGCTCTAGCTATACATACATATTCCTCAAGGAAGAGGAATGAGACTCCTCACAAAAGGAAAATCTTGATCACCCTAGAGGCAGAGTTTCATGTAATTCATGCCACACACATGCTGCCTATTGAGGAAAGCCTCTCTAAGACTGCTGAGGAGCTCTGCACTCTCAGTGACAGGCAGCGTGATATCCACAGCAGATGGAGATTACCCTCATGTATTTGTGTATCTTATCACATGCACTGTCATCTCCTGCAGGAACTTCCTCATCAGAGAAACAGCTAAACTCAGTATAATGGCCGAACAGCTGATTGAAAAAATAAAGAACGTGTGGGCAAGAGTCCGAGGCTATTAGCCAGAAGAAGACAAGTCAGTGTCTCCTGATGTGAATTGGTAACACCCTGCAGTGTCCTCTTTCCTTCTGCTCCTACTACGGGCCAAGATCAGTCGATAAGACAGAATCAATGCTCCTCTTAGTGCCACTAGAGGGAACCCACCTTCAAAGACCAAAAGACGGAAGGCATCTGCTGAAGCCTCCCCCAGAAAAAAAAAAAGAACACGCAGCTGGGCATGGGGAAGACAATAAGATTGTAGAGCTCTTCTGTAGCCAAATCTTGAAAATTAATTCCTCCTGAAAGGCTTGGCCATTGCCCCTCTAATAAAATAGTGTTGGTTGTTACACTTCCTTAAGTTTCTTATTTGTATTGACTGTTACAAAATCACACTCATCTTGGCATTCCATTAGCTGTTATTCAAAAGAAGTTGTTTCAGGCAATGCTAACAAACACTGACTGTTCAGGCACTTTTAACTAAGCTCAGATTCTTCTTGGGTAGAGGGGGCACTACCTGAGCATTTTTCAGGGTAGCCACAATATGACAACTGTAATCTCACATAAGGAAAGACCATGAAATTTAAGTCCTACTGATTGTGCTTCTTGGTTAGGTAAGAAGCAAGTAGGTGCACCTGTATCAAATGTATTAAGGTTTCAGATAATTTGGGAAAACAAGTGCTAGTAAACTGAACTGTCCATCAACATGAGCAGGACTTTAGAAGTGTATTTCATCAGCTTATTCAGTGAGACTGCTGAATAAGCTTTTCTAAAGGAGAAACAAGGGGAAAATGTCTCACTATCTTGACCAGTTTATGAGAAGGGCACCTATGACCAGCACTGTCTATGAAGACCTGGCAGGTCCTCATCAGCCCTATGTAACTGCATCATTTCAGATGCCCACACTGGACAAAGACATTCATCTGATTTCTCATTAAGCAAGCAGAAACAAGTGGGCAATTTGTCTGAAATCACAGTGTGAGACTGTGGCAGAGGCTAAAACAAACAAAACCCTGCTAGCCTGAGAGCTAGAAGTCACGTGCACATGGGTAGAACTACCGGTTTGGAGGGAGAGCATCGCTGCAACTGGCAAAATGAGATTTGCCTAATGACTGCAAGGCAATGTTACTGTCTTTTTAGATACACCTCCATTTACTTTTCCCTCATAGGATCTTAAGCCTCAAACTTTATTCTGCTTCAGCATTACCTTTAAGTATTTGTCAGGACTTGAGAGCAGCAGTAATGACCCTCCTCCATGCACTCTGCCTATGGGCCCAGGAACCCCATCTAAGCTCAGGCTCTGGGCACCCAGGCTGCTCCTGGCTGTCTTGGCTTACTGGTGGGTTTTCCTGCATTGATGTTGGACCTACGCTGTAGGTAGTAGCCTCATTCCATCATTGGTTGTGCTTCTTGGATGGACCTTGGATCTGTGTCGTAGCCTTGCCTCCAGCTCTGCCTCCTGCTGTCCTGAGCAGACTCCCTGGTATGACTGAAGGGCCCTGTCACAGTTACTACTCCCCTTGGGTACAGTGGGACTGTGCTCCGGCTGGGGACGTCACAACCTGTGCTGTGGTCTCTGCTGGCTCCTGAATTGTCCTCCCTCTTAGAACATCCCAGCTCTTGATGCTGCCTGACAGTATTTCTAGATTATCAGGTAATCAACAATTGAGTAGGGAAAGCTGGAAAAGCAGAGAAGCCCAAGGAGTAACTGAGAGATGTCGGTGTTTGGCCCTTTCCATGGAAGCGTGCAAGAAGGCAAAGGAAGAGAATGGGGGTGACAGGGAGAAGGGAGAAGCAGTAGAGGAAATTGAAGGAAGTATAAGAATCAGCAGCAATTGTGCTAAAAGCTGAATATATTTCCCCAAGGCTACCCTTTATTCCACTGATGGGTTTGACTATGGAAATTAACTCAAATAGATGACAAAAGGCTTATTAACAGAAAGGCTAATTAACAGATGAAGGCTGTAGTTCATCCAGTATCTTTCTGCCAGTCTCCATTAGCATTGGTGGGAGAACTGCCCTGACATCACATACATAGTTCCAGACTTTTATTTTAACCTGGTCTCCACATTTTACAGAATTATTTGACCATCTCAGGAGAGCAGGCTTTGCCATTGTTGAGCTTCAATACTCCTATTACTTGGGTAGCAATAGGGGTGGGGGAAAAATGCCCTAAGCAAGGCTTTTTCTCCAGCCTGAAGTGCTGAATGTTGAAAATCTGTCTGTTCACTTTCTTTCTCAGTGATCAGAGAGACGTATTGCCAGCAGTACTTGATTCTCCAAAGCTTCCTATTGCCCCAGTCTGAATTTCATCTCCCAGAATCTCTGCTACTGAGAAGTTTGCTTCAGCACAAACTGAACATGCTGTGGCTGTTGTCCTGTTGTAGCAGTTTAGTAGGCTCTGTAATGCAGGAGAAATGAGTCCCCAGTGTTGTGGGGTTCATTATTTTGTTGATTTTTTTTTGTTTCTTTAACTGTCAGTCAGATCAGCTATAATCTTGCACTCAACCACCTGTCTGGAATAAAAAGCCCTTCTTTTGCATTTCCTCTGTCCCAGCAGCTCCTTGATACTATGTGCAATCAGAATGAAGTCAGTGTCCCCATGCAGCAGCAAGTTCTTCCATCTCCGGTTGCTTTACCACTTCTGCAGAGCTCTTTTGCAGGTTTCTTTGTTGCTGCCTGTTTTGCTTAGACACTCTGTGCTTCCCTGGCCACGAATGAATGTGCACATGCATATGTATTATGTAAATGTACCAGTATTTAGAGGGAGATTTAGAAAAGCGGAAGTTTGGGCAAATAAGAACATTTACCATGTGAAAAACCCAGGATATTTAGGTTTTTTGCTACTAGGATGATTTCCTACCTGCTTGTTTTGCGTATGTCTGCTCAGTCTTTCTTTTTTCCCCAAATATAACCCTTGTAGGAGAAGTCCTGCAGCTTAAATTCCCTCTTGCCCCAGGGAAGAAATACAGCTTTCTGAGTTTTCTCAGAATTGAGCTTGTTCTTCTGTATTTCAAAAGTATTCCTTTCTAAAAGACTGAAAGTCATGGCAGCCTGAATATGCCCTTAAGAGTTTGGTGTCCTGGAAATCTTTGTTGCAACCTTTTCAATCTATCTGTATGCACTGCCAAAAAGAGTAGGAAAAAGTCTGGAAAGCACAGGAATCTCATATTGCATTTTGAGCCTGTTGTGTGACTTCACCAATGCAAGCCAGAGGCATTTCTGTATTGCACCATTGCACAGCTGGAGCAGAGCAGTACCTGGTATGAATTCTATGCTAAAACTTAACAAAGTTTTGATATTTTGTTAAATTCACTTAATTGTATCTTTTTGCTTTTCTGCAATGCAACCTCCAGAAAATTCAAGCCAGCCACATGCTCATTACCTGTTTGATTTTAGAATATGGTCAAAACTGAATCAGCCCATAGATCTCTATATTCGTTTGTACTCAATCTCCTGATCATGTAGTTAGTTATCTCTGCATTTTTATGCTTGAAAAGAAGTAAAAAGAAGAGCTTGCAGGTGGTTAATCTGCTGCACAATCTACAAAGTAGGGCAACCTACAAAGAGCAAAGTAGAAAATAGAAAACCTCCCACCACCACTTCTGATGTTATTGGCATCACCCTTTGGTGTGTTCCTTAAAGGCAGAAACTAGCAGCCAGGACAGCATTCAGGCAGGGACCAGGTAGGAAAATAAAAAAGCTTTTTATCCCCAAAAGGATCCTGGGGCAAATTCATAGGACATGTAATGAGGGGGGCACATATTTTACTCTCAAAATTTAAATATTTCACATCAACTCTCAGTTTTCAGTCGGAATAAACAGGTTAATCTCTAATTTCTTTCTAAAATATGTATAGAAATCACTTCCCAGGTGATGTCTGTTAGAGTTCACTGAGTGCTTCAAGATTCTTGGAGAGGCTTTGTAAGTGAAGCATTCATTTCAGTGAGATTCATGTCAGAGGAAATTTCTTTGTGAGTAATCATCATTCGCTTTACAGCTTTGGAAAAGCTTGTGGTGTAACGGGTTCAACTGAGTCCATTGGAAAAAAAAATCTTAAGAAATGTCAGGTTTCTGTTGCTTCCGAGATGGGTGAATAACCTGCAATTTTCTGCAAAAATGCCCTTTCTTTGAAAGTATTTTTTATGGTAAATACTTTACACCATTTTCAGTAGCTCAGAGTGTCGATGGCTTTTACATTTTCTAGTTCCCCTCACCTCTTACTTGTTAAAATACGTAACTAATGCTAAGGAACGCACACCTCGGGCTCTCCACTGCTGTGAGCAGTAGCGGCTGCTTTTGTCGACAAACAGGGGAAATCCCAGCACGGGGTGTTCTCTCCTTTCAAGGAGAGAAGACGAGGACTGGAAAAAAAGTCACGTAAAGTATCTGAAACTAATGGCTGGTAGTCACACCTACACACACGGACATTTCCATCTCTAGGTACCGTATTGTTTGCCCTCTGGCGAGGGCTGTGCAGGCAGGCACAGTGAGGTGAGGGAGCGGACTGGGATGGTGTATGTTCTCTGAGGCGCAGAGCTGACACGGCCGTCTGTCAGACGGCTCTGCGCTTTCCACGGTCTTTTGGCAAAGAGGCTTTTCCAGATTACTTAAAAGTAAACACCAAAATCACCAACGGGGTGCCTGTGCGTGGAGCCAGTGACGAGAAGAGGCAGCACACGGATGCGGCAGGTGGCTGAGGGTCAGCGCTCCCTCCAGAGGGAGGGGGTCACCGGCCACCCCCAGCGGGGCAGGAGCAGCGCCTCGGGGGCTCGGCGAGGCCAGCCGGGGGAATGCAAGCCTTGCGTGCCAGGCGGGCCCCGGCGGGCGGCAGAGATCAGTCAGCGCCCTTCTCCCTTTCGCTCCCCGCCCGCGGTTCCCGCCGCAGGGCGAGCACTGACTCAGAGCGGCACCGCCGCTTCGCACGCGATGCCGCGGGCTCGGCTCCCACATCCCCCGCCCCGATCCCGCCACCGCTCCCGCCCCGCTCGGGAGCGCAGGTGGGCTCGGGAGCCGAGAGGTGCCTGGGAAGGAAGGCCAAGGGGGTCGCCAGCCCAGTAGGGGATGCTCGGGGAGGCGGGAGTCGGGCAGAAGTGGCTGGAGGAAGGGCGGAGCAGCTTTGCAGCCATAAAGCCGCTCTTAGGGGCGGCTGGGACAGGTAAATTGCTCTCTGCTGGGCGGTTGACCCCGTGGAACGGGAAGGGTGTTTCGGCATGGGCCGAGTTGGGGTTGAGAGTCTGCAGGTGGGACGGCGTTGGGTGGGGAGTGTTTGAATGTTGTTTCTGTAATACATAG